AAGACCTGTGTGGAATCGCTCTTGAGATTGTGCAGCCTAGGATCGCTCTCAGCCTCGAGACTCAACCCCTTTGCTTCCAAACCTTGAAATTGAATTCAGAAGGTTCAACGGTCAACTACGATGTGAGGCCTGTGTGGCCGGATTTGAAGCAGCCCTCGAACAAGAGGCCAAGAAAGTCAGGTCAAGAAGATTAGATCTCATCAGAGGAAACTTACGAAGCTAGAACAGCAGCCATTCTCCTGGATTCAGATGACTTCAGGATCTCAAAACCATTTGACATGGACAAAGCTACACTTTTACCCTTGAGAGGCTCGCTGGGCCAAAAACCCGGAAGGGCTACCCAGGGAAAAGTTAGAGTAAGGAAAAGCAAAAAGAACAAAAAGAAATGAAGAAAAAAGAAAAGAAAAGAAACAAAGAAATAAAAAGAAAAGAAAAACAGAGCTCGCAAGGTGGAAAACCCAAAAGGGCGGCCTTGGCAAAAGTTAGAGCGCAAAAAGGAGAGGTTAATACCCGAGTGTACCTTAACCCCGAACTACGTAAGGCTTGATTCCCATCTTTGGGATATGTAGGCAACTTCATTCTGAAGTCCAGCCATAAACACTTCCAAATCGACTGTGTCCATGCAATGGTTCTGGTCATCTTTGTCTTCTCTGTATCTGAGAGTCCGGTTGTGTTCGTCGCTCTGAGGACTGCCTACAATGCGCCGTGGTGCCATCCAAACAAGGGGCAACTTTCCGTTGCCATTCGAAGCGCTGTGGTGCCATCCAAACAAGGGGCAGCTTTCCGTTGCCATTCAGTGCGCCGTAGCGCCATTCAAACAAGGGGCAACTTTCCGTTGCCATTCAATGCGCCGCGGTGCCGTTCAAACAAGGGGCAACTTGCCGTTGCCATGCAGTTCCCCTCAAGCAAGGGGCAATTTTCCTTTGGATCCGGGGTTGTGCATCTCAAGAGTAGCTTCCGTGCTCGTTGAGCAGTGGTCGTTTGCAAAAATGGTTTTTGAGAATTTTTACTGAGGTTGACTAACCTTTTCGAAAAGTACTCCATTTTTCAAAACTGGACCATTTCTTGGACCCAAAAGAGGAAAATTTTCAGTGCTCATGGCCTGACTTGCATGATTTTAAATCAGAAATTTGAACAAGCATGTTAATCTAACTCTCATTTTGGTCAAATTTTTTTTGGGAGAAAACTAAAACAAAAAATGGTCAAAATGATGAACTAGGGGCACAGTTGAGTCAGGCTTTCTGTCTTTTCCCCTTTGTCAAAATACTTGCCAGAAAGGGCGCTCTATTTGTCGGAAAGGACACCGTATTCGCCAGAAAAGGGCACAACAAAGGACAGAAAGCTCTCACATCCTCCAAGCAACGAGGTATCAAGCCGAGTGCGAAGCACGAATTGGAATGGGTTGAGATGCTCCATTCCCTCATCCGGCGCATCAACAGATATCACCGAAGGAAATAGCCGCAAGCTGATTATGTTGGGTGTGAGCCCGCAATTTGCTGTTTATCCATCAACCACCCAGGGGAGGGATGAAAAATGAGAGATTGAAGAATAGAGAGATGCGCGATGAGAGAAAAAGTGAGAAGAGGTCTTTTTCAGAAAAACAGAGCTTGAGGGCCGAGTGATGTGAGAACCACAAATAAGAAAGGGTGGGAAACACTACCCGGCGAAACAGGCTCCCTGTGCACGTCTGAGTGTCGTGTCTTTTTGTTTTATCTCGATTCTTGTTTTGAGTCGTTTCGAGTGTTACTCGATGTGTCTAGGTTGTGTGCCTTTTATTTCCTTGTTGCGTCGTTTTGCTGCGTTCAGTCATAGGCTCAATACTTGGTCGAAAGCTCATCTCTGAATTTCAAAAACAAAATCGTTTTGTGCTCCGAGTGCCATGCCATTCTCCACATTTGTACAAAACAAAATTTGTTCTTTCATAAAATCGCAGGGTTCAACCC